ATTGGGGTCATCACAACATGAAGAACTGTACTATCAGGAAGGTTGAGAACCACTGAAATCATCTGCTGGCTTTTCTGCCTTTTGTATTGCCCACACTAAACGCTTCAAGATTCCAAGTACAGATATGACACCGCTACTGTCTCTCCTACCCACGTTCCAGCTCTTCTCATAGTGTTTATATAAATGCTGAGGGGTCTTATTGGGCAAATTGGCTTTATGGAAAACAAACATTTGGTTATCTAAGAATTAAGTCCTAGTAAGCATTTTGGCATTTCCCCTATTAATGAGAAAAGGAGTTCTGGACATGAAGGATCTGCTCATTACAAAGTCTGTTTGGTTTTTATCTCTACATATCTGGCAAAGTAATGAAGTGTAGACGCACATATCAATTTTCTCAAAGCTGAGATCCCCCCTCTTTGAATTTCATATTTGTAAGCCAACCACAAAAAAAAAGAGAGAACAAAAAGTAACCAACCACAGGCCAATACACTCCAGTGATGAATTTTGTTTAGTCTATGACTACAATGCTGTCTGTCTATCTATCATCTATCTATCTATCAACCTATCTATCTATCTATCTATCTATCTATCTATCTATCTATCTATCAATCATCTATCTTCATCATCATTATCCTATCTATCTATCTATCTATCTATCTATCTAATTTGTGGTAAGGCAGGTGGTCTTGAATTCTTGTTTGTTGTTGTTTTTGAGACAGGATCTCTCTTCATAGTCCTGGCTGTCCTGAAATTCACTATGTAGTGCAAACTGGCCTGAAACTCACAGAAATCTGTCTGCCTCTGCCTCTAACTCTGCATCCCAAATGCTGGGACAAAGGGTATGTGCCACCACTGCCAACTGGCCTTGAATTCTTGATTCTCCAATCTTAGTTCCTAAGTGCTGGGATTCTAGGCATGGACCAATATACTTGACTATCTACAATGTTTAGACATCAGGAAATTTCACATACAATCTACAGATCCATGTTCTTTTGAAGATTTAAGGGCATTGGCAACACTGAACTATCATTCTAACATGACAAACATTACATTACTTAGACATGGAAGCTGGCATGAATTCTCAGGTTTGCTGTGACCCTTTACTAGGCTTTTCTAGTCCCACAGGTCTTTGACTTTGTAACCATTAGGTCGCTTGTTGAGACAAATATACAACCATGCCCACTGTATGCTAGATACAGTTCAAGGCCATTTCCAAAAGTTCCATATTATTCACAACATGGTGGCTTTCATTTTTCTAGCAGGCGGTGAGGATCAGAAAGCCTTGTATGTGAGGGCACAGATCTTTGTGCCTTCTGCCTCATTTGTCTTTATACCTAACTGCTTCAAAAATTAAAAGTTTATCCAACACAGTATTAATCGGCAACCCCACTCCTGGATGTGTGTGTGTGTGTGTGTAGATGCCTACAAGTATGAACAAAATCAGAATGTCAATGAGGCATGTGCACTCACATGTTTGTTGAAGCACAATCTAATACCAAGATGTGTAATCAACCTAAATGTTGACCAACTGATGAACACATCTAAAACTGTGGCACAGACATACAGTGCAGTGCATTTCAACTATAAAAAGAATGAAATCGGGGGCTGGAGAGATGGCTCAGAGGTTAGGAGCACTGCCTGCTCTTCCAGAGGTCCTGAATTCAATTCCCAGCAACCACATGGTGGCTCATAACCATCTATAATGAGATCTGGTGCCCTCTTCTGGCCTGGTGGCATACATGCAGACAGAACACTGTATACGTAATAAATAAATAAAATCTTAAAAAAAAAAGGTTTTAAATAAAAAAAAAGAATGAAATCCTGTCATTTAGGATAGCACAGATGGGAACTGAGATCATTATGTTGAGTGAAATTTACTAGGCACAGGCAGAGAAGTACCACATGATCTCTCACAGAATTTATAAAAGTTGATCCTCTGGAAGTTGGGAGTAGAAAGGTGGTTACCAGAGGCTGAGGAGAGTAGTGGGGCTGGGGGGAAAGGATGGGAGAGGCTGAGCAATGGGAATGAAGTTATAGTTAGAAACCACAAAGAAGTTAGGCTTTTGGCATAGGTCTAAGATCTTGGCTACCCAGGAGGTGGTATAAGGTAGTTCAAAAGTTCAAGGCCAACCTGGGCAGCTTAGTCATACTGTATCAAAGCTAAAAAGGGCTAACGAGGGAGCTGGAGAGATAGCTCAGTGGTTAAGAGCACTGGCTGCTTTTCCAGAGGTCCTGAGTTCAATTCCCAGCAACCACATGGTGGCTCACAACCATCTGTAATGAGATCTGGCACCCTCTTCTGGCCTGTGGGCATACATGGAGGCAGAATGTTGTATACATAATAAATAAATAAATCTGCCTTTAAAAAAAGGGTTAAGGATAGAGCTCAGAGGTAGAACATTAGCATACAGAAGGGCCTAGGTTTATCACCAGTGTCGCCAAAAAGGAATAAGACTGGTGTGCACTGTAGTGTGAGTATGAATAATGACACTATGTATACTTTTTAAAAAAAAAATAGTAAGATTTAAAATGGTTTCAGCATGGAGAAATATTTGGGATGTTTACCTTGAATGTGAAGAGCATACATGTATAAAAATAAAAATTAAATCTTACAATCATACACATAGAAGCATCACATAGTGACTAATGTTGATACATCTCGGCAGTTAAAAGACATGCATGTACAGATAACTTAAGAACATGAAAAGTTGGGTGTGGGGGCATAGCCTTAATACTAGGAAGCAAAGGCAGACAGAAGTTTGTGGGTTCCAGGACAATTAGGGCTGCACAGTAAGACCCTGTCTAAAAAAACAAAACAATGACAAAAAAAAAAAAAGTTCAGTAAGAAACAAAGCCACAAGGAGCAGTGATGACACCGTAGGAATTGGGAGTCCACAAAAGGAAGGCTCTTTCTGTGAAACCCAGGTACGAGGATCAAGAGGCTGCTTCCATAGGGGAGAGAGATGGGGAGCAGCTAAAATAAGCAAGTACATTGGGAATTACTACAGCCACAGCTCTTGGAGAAAAGAACCATAAATTTAGAAAGTAGAAAAACTTCACTGAATCTGCTGGCGTTTGGTCAAAACCATGGTATAAACCCCTGGCTTCTGTGTGTAGCTATGCACATGTAGGTTTTTGCACTGTTCCCCATTCTGCATGTATGCACAACTGTATATTCTAATTCTGTGAGAAGGGCTGGCCACACAGTAGCCACTAGTCTATCTTTTACATGGATGCTTATTCAAATTTAACATAATCACTGAGCAGCAGATTTAGGTCTGATATTTTCTCATGCTTTCCATTTGTCTCATCTATTCTTTACTCTCTTTCTCTTTGGTGTTGAGACTGGGTTTCTCTATGGAGCCTTGGCTGTCCTGGAACTCGATTCGTAGAGCAGGCTGGCCTCGAATTCACACGGAGATCCATCTGCCACTGCCTCCTGAGCACTTTTAATTCCCCCTTTTCTTCTTTCTTTGGGTTGAGTGTTTTTCCATTTATTTATTTTTTTGAGACAGGGTTTCTCTGTGTAGCTCTGGCTGTCGTGGAACTCACATTGAAGAGCAAGCTGGTCTTGTTCTCAAAGGAGATCTCCCTGCCTCTGCCTCCGGAGTGCTGGGATTAATGTTGTTTGCCACCATGCCCTGCTTACATTTATTTTTTAATATATAACTAATGATGGTACACATTCATGGGGTACTATGGGCTGTTTGATACATGCATATTTAATTTTTAAATGCTATTGCCCATCAAAGGAGTCAGCGCTCTTTGGGAAGAATGGGCTGCTCCAAGGACTACACAAGACAAATACGCAAGATGAACCTAAACATTAAGTATTCATAGACTAATGATGGCTTGCTGTGAAGAGTAATCTTGGTTGTATGGTTGTAACTTGACTGGCTTTGAAATCTAAGAGACATGCTCCTGGAAGGATTTGAGAAGTGCCTTCTAGTGGCAACCTGTATTTAAGGAGGTCCTAGGAAAAGCTGCCTTTTGTTTGCCTGCCTTCACCTTTTGCTGGTACCCTGTTACTGCTGCTGTTATCAAAGCTCAGCTTCTTCACCCTTCCTACATAGTTGGAAAGCCAGTGGCTCTCCAGAAATCCTCCAGGCCTTCAGGGCCAGATGGGACTGCTGAGGCGCTCGGCCTCCCGGACTGAGCAGTTTACCAGTGACTCCTGGAGAGTATCGATAATTCGATCTAATAAATGCTCTTCGCAATATATATTCCTTCTACTGGCTTTTATACGGAACCCCAACTAGTACACTAGCCAGGAACAGAGACGCTACCCTCAGAAACTGCCATTCTGTCAGTCACTGATTTGTGACAACTTGAGCAAATCCATGAAAACATACAATAAGAAAATGGAAGAAATTGCTCCCCAATAGCGAAATACAGTCGACACATGTTGAGGAATGAGGAAATAAAAAGAAAAGCCACTATTTGGCATCAATTAGGGTACTATCACAAGCATGTAGGCTAAGAGCACATAGCTAAACTGGCTGACAAGAGCTACTTCTGGGGTCTCAAAGTCTCCCTCACGGAGGACTTAATGTGAAGGTGTCTGTTGGTTAAAAAGGGGAAACAGTGGCTTCACAGTGCTGCTCAGGTCATCGCAGCAGCGCAGGAACAAATGGACGGTGTGGCCCCTCCAGCCATCGCGTCGAAAGTGCAGCACTGCCCATAGTATCCCAGCCACCTGCAATCCCCAGTCCAACAAGGAAGTGCCACACTCAGACTGAGGGTCTTCCATAAGCTGATAGCCAATATAATCATAAAAACATGAAGGCCAAGGAAGGAGTAAGGTGTGGTTCAAAACTGAAAGAGACTAAAAAAGCAGGACACTGCTGCAGGCAACCTGCGATCCTGTGGTGCAGCTTCTGCTGTGGCGGTGTGAGCAAGCACTGGGGTAGAGCGGGATGAAAGGCAGAGATCCTCTGCAGTGCTTTCACAACTTTCCTACTAGTACGAAATTATTTAAAAAACCCAAAGTACCAATTAACTTTTGTTCAAAAACTTTTATTTACTATAAAGACAAAACACCAAAATAGGTACAAATACTATAAAATTGGTTCAAAGGGGTAAAAATTTTAATTAAAATATCTCGATATATTTAAAATAACAAAGGATACATTTAAGCCAAATTTTCTTAACCCAGAGGTTTTCTGTAGCATTTGCTTACACAGTAAGGTGCTAATAGGAGTTAGCCCTTAAGCCCTGGAAGTCTTAGGAATCATAGTCACACAGCACATAGAATGTCATTGTGAGAGCGAACTTTGGCAGAAGAAATTTAAATCTACAGGACACCTGAGGTAGTAGAAACCGGAATAAACAGCAGTAGACGTTATTTACAACTCGAGTACCAAATAACATTAAAAACACAAACATAATTACACAGTACAATTTTCAGTCCAGCTTTGATCCAAAGAAAATAAGAATATTACATCACATTTGCATCGAAAACAAAATACCACAATTACCAGCAAGCTGAGGGAACTGCAAACAAACTCAAACACAGTGGATCTTGACATCTGGAGACAGTTTGAGTTTGAAATGTGGTGGGCATGTTGATCTACACAGTAATACTGATTAGCTGAGGTTCCTCAGTTTAGACAGTTTACACCTCTGTCAGTCACGGTGCTAATCTGACCAACGATCTTCCAGTATATAAAATGGCAAGAGTGCGTCCTTTAAAGCTTGCACATAAGACTCGGAAACAATCTTATTAGAATCGTGAAAATTCTAAGTAGTCAAAAAAGTAAAAATAAAAAGAAAATATAAAAGGAAGTCAAGTACAACACATTTAGCATTACCAAACTTCACATTTCTGAATTATTTTTAACTCTTCAAATATTGCCAATCTTCCAAAACAAAGGAATGTAACATTTCACTAAGAAGCACATTCACATAAAAACTGCCTTTGAAAATGATCTGCAATATATCCCTGTAAACTTATCTTGGAACTTATTTTGCTTCCAATTTGTGTAGTACATTTCAAATGTACTACTTATAATATAGCTTATTTAGTTTATCCTGAGTCTTTGAGAATAACCAATTCTATTTCACACTGGCTTCTGAAGAGTTAAAACTTAACATTTCAAAGTTACATTTAATAGCTAATCAGTACTTGATTTAAAAGACAGACATGCAAAGGTCTACCATTTTGCTTCAGGATTCCATGCATCTGAATTAACTCAAAGTTAAGACAATTAAATAGTTGTGCAAATTTCAGGAATTAGTGTGTAAATGAAATTCAACTTTTCTTTCTGAGCATTTTCTAAATGCAAAGTAAATTTATTGTTTGTTTAAAAATGTTACTGATTGATAGGTAAGTAAATGAGTTTATCAGCCAGGTCTAGTATAAAACATCATGCATGGCAGAAGGAAAATAGCAGTTATGTTATAATCAGTGGGCATGAATGATGGATTGTTACAAAGAGGAAGATTTAAATGGTATGAATTTCCTATAGGCTAGCAAAATAATATGAAATATTTCAGCTAACTTTCAGGTAATCTCGCCCTGCCTTGTGCTGACTCTGAAGTGAGGATGTACTTAACCCGCATGGTGAAAGCAGGCTGACTCACGAAGCCAGTATTTCATTAGATGCCTATAAGAAGAAAACACAACTCTTGCAATAGGCACAGACTTAAAAAACTAGTTCACACCTACTTATAGCTTCTTTTTTTTTTTTCTGGTTTGAAGAGATCACCTTTCCCTGAATATTCAACACAAATGAAGGTGAAATGAAAATACAGAACCATATTTTCCAAAAACGAAATGAACGGGCCAACAGTAAAATGCACAATGAACCACAATCAACCACAAGTCAAAAAAAAGTCAACTGTGGGTGATAAAGAAGTTAATAACTTTTAAAAACACATGTATTTATTGCTACTCATAGCATACTCTGACCTAAAAGAGGCAGACACTGATTTTTTTTTTACAGCCAGTGACAAAAAACCCAAAGGGAACTGCAGAACCTCCTGCTGTGCTCACCCGACGGAATGGAAGAAGTGACACATGAAAACAGATCCTGAGCCCTCAGCTGCTAATATTGCTGAAAAAGTGCTCCAAAAATAAATTTATGCTTCTGTTATTTAATCATGCAAACTCCATTGCTTTCCTGTTCACCTAGAGCCAGTCCCTTGAAAGGCACGGTTTACAGTTTCTGCACAAGTTGTGGACTTTTGCATATTGAGCTTAGGTACAGATCATGATTTGTCAATCACATACTTAGGTAAGGGTTCCCTACTGGCCTCATCTCTAGCTGTTCAGTGGCATGATGGCCAGTAGATTGTCAACGTGGTTGCCCACAAGTTCTTTTTATTCTTTCCTTGTTGCAGCTCCTGTCTCCATTATAGTCAAACAATTAACTACCAAGTCGTACGGAAGACAGGATGCTTCAGTAGCTCTCTTGATGGAGGTCTGTCCTGAGGTTGAAGTTCTAAACAACGCAGAGCCACATCACGCAGACCTGGGGACAGATGTGATGGGATGGATGGTGCAGTAGTCGCACTAGCAATCTGCAGGAGACAAAACCAGAGCACTGAACTTTTCATCCTAACTCTGCACAGAACACAGGCATCATTTTCATAGCCTCTACCAGTGTGCACCTATGTGGTAACACAGGGTGTTCTTCCTCGGTGTTGGACAAATCCTGATTCTTTATACCAAAAAGTGCAAACAACTTTTTATTTCTCTTTTGACAAGGTCTCGGCACAGGCTGCTGGCTTGGATCTTCTTCAGTCACAATTGTGCACCACCAAGCCCAGACAAGAGCTGACTATTCTATAAACAGGTAGAGGATGAATCTAAATAATGTAAACCTACCTACTGACTCATAATCACAATAAAACTCTCCCTTTAGCAACTTCATGGATCATTACTGAAAAATGTAAAATGACAGAAGAAAAAAAACCTTAAAAAGTCTGTGATCTAGGAACATTGAATGGATACACACACACACATCCGTGATCCCCTGTCTATGTAGAGACACTGAGTAGATGCATATGCTTCTTAATACACCATAAGACAAAAACCAAACCAAAATGACATCTCTTTGCACCTGCCCAAGAGTAATCAGTCACTGCTCTTGTTTTTCCTTCACAGGGAAAAAAAAGCCCCAAACATTTCTGTTGAATACCTCATTTAATTCATGTTATAAGAGCTCTAGCCATAGTGCACTGCCTGGTCCTAAATTTGAAACATTTTGAAACATGGAGTAAATTTCTTATAAGGAGCACAGATAAGTCAAAAAAGTGCACTTAAAATTTTTGAAGTAGAACCAGGTGTGGTGGGCACACCTTTAACCCCAGCACTCAGGTACATCAGACCAGCCAGGACTACATAGGGACCCTGTCTCACTGCCCTCCCTCCAAAACAAAACAAAACTGGGGGAGTAGACTAGGGAACTGGCTCAGTGGGAAAAATGCTGGCCATGCAAGCTTGATGGTCTGAGCTTGGATCCCCAGAACCCATGTGAAAAACCAGGTAAGATAGCCAGGAGGCGGTGGAGCACGCCTTTTAATCCAGCACTCGGAGTTCCAGGACAGGCCCCATAGCTGAACGGAGCAACCTTGTCTCGCAAAACCAAAAATAACAAACCAAAAACAAACAGCACCAACAAAAGAACCCAGATATGAGAATGCCTGTCTGTAAGTCTAGCACCCCTACAATAAGACTGGGGGCAGGAGAATCTTCTCGAAGTTCACAGCCAGAAATCCTGGACTATGCAATGTGGTGGTCAACAAAAGTATCCCTCCTCAAAGGAGATGGAGAACAAGACCAACTCCTAGGCTGTCCTCTTATCTCCACACATGACATAGCATGCACATACTCTTACATACCAATATCTACATACATAATCCATACACAAAAATAAGAAAACAGGTGGTTTTTTTTTAATTGGTAGACAGAGACCAGTAACCATCTGTCCCTGCAATTTCAGGGGATCTGACTCCCTTTTCTGGCCTCTGCAGCCACCAGACATGCATAAGCTACACAAACGTATGTGCAGGCAAAATACACACCTAACATCAAACAAACAAACAAACAAACAGCGATTAGTAGGGACAATTCATGGGAATCTGACTTCTCCCAATTTTAGTACAAAAAAATTTGTCACCTCATAATTACCTTAAATATCAAAGCAAGATGATTGGAGTGTTTTTCTGCATTCCAAGGTGGTTTTGCACAAGCCATTTCTATAATAGCGCAGCCGACACTCCATACATCACAGCTCCTGCCATACTGCTGGCCTCTTAGTACCTAAAACAAAGCAGGAAATCTGCAAATGTGACTTACTTAAAAGAGAGATCTATTTCTTTATGTACGAGTTCAGAGCACACGGGTACAAACGGCAACTACACGAACTACTTGAAACCCCATTACCAAGCTTACTATCCACACGGCACAGAGATAAGGACCACAGGGTTCCAAAGCCACCTCTGGCTTACCTCCCTTCAGGAAGGAAAGGTAACTTTTGCGTATTGCTACCACATGTAGTTTTGTTTTAGTATAAAACAACTATTACAAACTAACCCCACAATTTTGTGTTAAATTTGCTTTTTGTTAAGTTCATGTTAATTGTGTTGAAGATTTATCTTTTGTAATCTTGTTAAGATAAAACCGGAAAGGTGGAAAGGAAGGGACTGAACTACAGGGTACTATTAAAAACCAACTTCTAGGGTCGTGGACTTGCAATCAGTAGGTTTGTTCTGGATCTCACTGTGAAGTACCCTGGCACAATGCCCCACAGGACTGTTACATTACACACAAAGCCACGTCTCACCTCAGGTGCCATGAACGCAATTGTCCCCAGTAGCTGTCCCTGAAACTCCCCCGCACCGGTTCCTTTTGATGCCAACCTGGCGGCAGCTCCAAAGTCTGCAATTCTCAGCCTCTGCCCTGTGCTGTCAATGAGCAGATTGGCACCTGTCAACAGAAACAGAAATGGCCAGGCATGTTAAATCAAGTAAGGACTTGCTGAGAGCCTCCTGCAGTCCCACTGATGAACTAAACAGCGTGGGCGCAGTCACAGCTGCAGGGAAAGCTGCTCCTGCCCTCCCTGTCCTCCTCTGCTCCATTTCTGCTGAGGACACACTAGTGCTCTTTAGGGCAGACTGACCTAAAGCCTCAAGAGAAAATCCTGAAGGCCCACAGAGATAAAGGAATACACTTAAAGACCCATTAAAGAAAGGATTAAAACCCTTAAAATGATGATTTTGGCAAAATCTATCCAGAATTCAAATTTTGGTACAATTTACATTTTAGAACCAAGTAGTGTTGATACATACTAACATATGCCAATTTTAACTACATGCTTATTTCAACATAGTTTAAAAAGTCAATATTCTAAACAACACTCCAATACTCAAGAGATTCATAACAGAAAACTCAAATTGCCTTTAATAAATCTTTTTTTGAGACAGGGTTTCTCTGTGTAGCTTTGGAGCCTGTCCTGGCACTAGCTCTTGTAGACTGACCAGGCTGGCCTCGAACTCACGGAGATCCGCCTGCCTCCGCCTCCTAAGAGCTGAGATTAAAGGTATGCATCACCACCGCCCAGCTAATAAATATAATCTTAACTGCAAGATTTGACAGGACTGACTGACTTACTTCTCCCCCACCCTCCACATCCTCTTAGCAGGATTTTTCTCTGTAAACCACACTGGCTGTCTAGGAACTTGCTCTGTAGACCAGGCTGGCCTAGAACTCACAGATATCTGCCTGTCTCTGCCTCCCAAATTCTGGGATTTAAGGTATGTGCCACCACTGCCCGGCTATGACTTTTTTAAGTTTATGATGTACCAATTATCTCAGAAATACCAAGAGCAGGGATCTCCTGGAAATACATCATAATGCCAAGACAGGGGATCAGAGACCTCGGTTCTACACTTCCCGTCAAGTCACACCCCTTTCCTTGTATTGAACACACCGCCTTACATAAGGAGAAAGGTGGTCTGAAGACCTTTTTTTGTTTTTTGATACAGGGTTTCTCTGTGTAGACCTGGCTGTCCTAGAGCTTGCTCTTGTAGACCAGGTTGCTCTTGAACTTAGAGATCCGCCTGCCTCTGCCTCCAGAGTGCTGGGATTAAAGGAGTGCACCACCACTGCCTGGTAACTAAAGGGTCCTTTTAGTTCTAATATTCAGAGGGTTATTTAATACCAAACCTAAAAACTTGTGTAGAAACCATCAAAGGTCAAGGTTAAAGATTACATTTGCCTTCTTGTCATGAGAAAACACTGGGTTCTTACCTTTGACATCTCTGTGAATGATCTGGTTCTCGTGGAGATACGAAAGGCCACGGAGTAACTGCTCAGTATAGTTAATGACCACTGACTCCTTGAAAGCTCCGTATTTACTCAGGAGATGAGCCACAGACCCTCCTGAAAGACAGACACTGTGTGAGCCTGGCAGAGCTACACGTGTTTATTGCACTCTAGTTTCTTAAGCTTACACTATGAGCTCATATGAAATGTTAGACTCAGCATATCAGAAGTAAAATTGATTTTCTATATTACCTCAAAACTGTAAATTAGGAAACATTTTCTACAGAACCCTAATAAAACCAGCTTACTACAGGGCCAAGATTTCAGAAAACACTAAAAGTTATACATTTTTAGACTGAACTATTTTAGCAATGTAGAATCTTTCTTTTTCAGTCCAAGTGTATAAACTACTACAGAATTAAGTAAACAACACTGACCATTTATTTAGCAAAAGGCAAAGAGCAGGAGGAAGAAGGCAGTCAGGCATCAAATCCCATGTACAAGCTCTGATGGGACAAGCCAAAAACTCAATGAGCCTCACTTATAGATACTTGTAAGAGCCAACCTATCGGTTCTGTATGTCCCCAAGAAAAACAACAGGGAAGCAAGGGACTGGAGAACTCCTGGGTGTCCCTGGGGAGACAGCTCAGTAGGCAGAGTGCCTGCCATGCATGTATGGAGACCTGAGTTCAATCCCCAGAATTAACATTAAAAGCCCAGGCACGGTGGTGCGTGTCTGTAGCCTCAATATGGGTCAGTCAGCTCAGCACATCTGATGAGCTTCAGGTTCATATGGACCCTGTCTCGAAAAACAAAGGTGAAGAGGGACTGAGGTAACACACCCACCACCTTGGATTAGATACCCACATGTACACATGTGCACGCACATGTGCAAACACCCACACTAATAAACACACATAAACATGAACTAGAAATGTACTCTTAAATCACACAAGAACTTAAATAATTGCCTAAATAAGCTAGCTGTCCCATCTTAAGTCACTGTTACACATATTACAGAAGTAAGTTCAGTCTATGTTTAAGAGGATGAGGAAAGTTCAGTCTGTTGCTCACTGATGCTTTACACTGTGCATACCCGCCATCCACTCAATGAAGAGGTTGTAGTTGCTCTTCTCACATGTGGCCCCCAGCATCCTGATGATGTTCGGATGGTTCAGGTGGCTCATCATCCTTATCTCTTCCCTTAATGCTTCCACCACTTCTTCCTGCTCAGAGGACGTGTTTCTGACGTAAGTCACCTGTTTTAATAAACACGTTAACAAGGTTTTGAGTTTTGATGTTCTTTGTTTTCAAAACAACCTGATCTAAAACTGACAAATCCAAACTATCTTAAATATAGACAACAAATGGCATTTAACCTCATGGACGCAGGATTCTTTACATAAAACCAACAAATCAACAGGGAAACCCAAGTCAAGTACTTTTAGACAATACGGATATAGCTTAATAAACTGTAAAAAAAATCAGGAAAATGGCAAAAGGGGAGGGTGTTGTAGCCAAGATTGCAACAACAGAAAAAGAGTAAAAATGAGAAAAGCCAACTACAGAGGAACAAACAATATGAGTTTAACGAAAAGTCATTATTTTTGCATTTTGTATGTTCATCATATGTATTATGTAGATATGCTCACTGAATGTACTTGTAAGTACACTCATTACAAAAGGCAAATGACAGACTGAGACAGCATCAACTGGCACAGTGGAGAGCGGCAGAATAACAAACCACAGTTCTGACCATCCTGATACTGTATCTTACAATGATCAGCCCCAACTTTTTTTTTTTTAAACATGATTTATTATGTATACAGTATTATGTCTGCATGTATTCCTGCAGGCCAGAAGAGGGCACCAGACCTCATTACAGATGGTTGTGAGTCACCATGTGGTTGCTGGGAATTGAACTCAGGACCTTTGGAATGCTCTTAACCTCTGAGCCATCTCTCCAGCCCCAGCCCCAACTTTTAATAACAGAATTTAAGCGTGTCAAGTGTGGCGGCACAGTCCTGTACTCCAAACACCAGGGAAGTGGAGGCACGACGGCCCCAAGCCTGAAGCTACGCAGTGTGACCCTGTCTCGGAACCACAGCAAACACAAGTGACACCAGCGTCCCATCCCGTCTCCCAACTGCACGTCCTCCCGATACCAACCTGTTTAACAGCCATTAACGTTCCAGTCCCCACGTCTTGTGCTTGGTAACAAGAAGAAAATGCTCCAAGGCCTATTTGCTGTCCTTTCAGCCATTCGGTGTCTTCTCTATAAGGCTGTTTTGCTTTGGTATGTCCTGGCAGAGTCTCTGGGGTCTGCATACGAAATAAAAGCAACCATTTTACTGTTAAAAGAGCATGACCTTGTAAAATTAGTCTGTTACTACTGTAATTCCCAAACCACCTATAAATTTGATCTCTGAATGGACAAGGTAAACAATAGTATCAAAGGTGTTAAGTGATAGTCATTTCAGAATCTGTCAGAAGTAGCTCTAAAATGGGCTGGGTACTGCCACTGCAATAACTCAAAATTATTACTACATACTTAATTATATATGGAAAACCCTTGCGATCATCTCTAAAGCACCATTTCTCCTAGATCTTAAGCCGTCCCAAGGAAACTGTAAGATCTGAAGACTACACTCACATCCTGCTGGATGATGATGATATCTTCCCCATTTTCCACCTGTAGCTGAGGAACTATGGGGAGGGCATCCTGGGATGCTGACATTGCCATGGCAATTGCTAAAGCTTCTTCTTCTTCAGCTTCCATCTTTTCTTTGCACTTTTGATTATGATTGACGTCATCTTTGTACGTATCATCATTTTCAGCCTTTTCAGGAGAGAGGACAGCAACTTCAGACTTAAAAGTGACTGTTGTGTCACTGGAAGGCATCGATGCTTCAAGAAGGTCCTCGATACTGGAGTTGAGCTCGGTGTTGACATCTAATCTGCACTTGTCCTCCACTGGGGTGAATACTGTCTCGTCGCTGGGTATAACGGCGTCACCACTGTTGCTGCTACTGCCGAAGCTGCCATCGCATTTGGAAGCACTGTTCAGGTCAAGCGTCATGCTATTTTTTGAGGCATCCCCCAGTTTGCTTGTGCTACCTGGGACGGGTCGAGATGGCTTTGGCCTGTGTATGCTACTGGAGGGTGGGGGTCTTGACTGGGTAAAGACTGGGGAGAGTTTATCTGAGTCTCTGTTTTCAGAGCAGTTCCTCTGGAATTGTAGAGAAAACTTGCGCTGTGTTTGAGGAGATGCGGAAGGTATTTTGCAGGGAACAAATGCCTGAGGTCTATGCTTAGAAACATCTGTTACAGAGCCAGCTGGGACAGATGGGGCAGATGAACAAGGGGTTGATACTGCTGGAAACATCTGGGAATGAGATAAAGGAGAGGAGTTCAAACACTGACTGTGGGGTCTGCCTTTTGTTTGAACCATTGGCTTTGGTTGTTCTGTTGTTGTTGAACTAGGAAGTCCTACGGAAATGCTAGCCAGTCTGTCAGAAATGTCCTCTGAACTGACACTCAGTCTCGTAGCACATAATCCTTTTCCAGTTTTCTCTAAATGGACCGTGTGCTGGATGGAACTGTTCTCTGGATAGTTGGTAGGGCCCACTGCCTCCAAGAAACTGTCCTGTTGACCATCCAAAGTGTCTTCCACACCCATCTGGATGACCTCAGCAATCTCCACCTCATCTGCAATCACCAGCAAACGCCGGCGCATTCTGGTGAAGTGAGTGGAACCAGAAGCGGTCAGCATCGTTACCAGCTTGGAAAACACAGCGGGCACTGAAGTCACCATTCTTGCAGAACTCAAATATATCCTTCGAGAGAGTTTGCCGACCATTGAGTGGGGATTGTCAATGGACTGCAAAGTGAAGGTCAGGAGGGACAGCAGCTTCTTATACCTGAAAGAAAAACAAAGCATAACACCTTCAATTAGACAAGTACAAATTACTGAAAAAATACATATATTCCTTAAAAGACAACTCATAGCCTGCCCTTGTACACAAAAACCATTTTGGTACAAAGAATTTGTGAATGTTTAACTAAAATTAGCCTACTCTTCAGGTTTCTATAATCAAGGACTAAGGTATTAGTATATACCACTTGGGGATATGTGAGCAGCAGGAAGAGGGGTACTGAGTTCCACAAAGAAAATTACCTGATTTCAACAGGCTCAGCTTGAGAGACGTCAGTACTGACAATATGAGGATAAAATTCAGCAGGAAATTCCAACAGCAATCTGTCTATAAGACACAGGCGGCCTAGGAGTTCTTGCCAGCTGTTTGATTCAGCTTGGTTTCCAAGAATACAACTTAAGACATAATCAACACCACCAACACCAATAGATCCTACAGAAGCAAAAACAAATGATGGAGAAACAGTGTCAAAAATTAAATTAACTCCTATTCTAAAAACAGCTGAGTGAATTAACCAATTTGTAAAATTACTTCAATATTTTATAACAGTTCTATGCAAATCTTAGGTCAAAGAAAACATAAGTTGTACTACACGAACTTTAAAGTAGACGTCATTACCAGCTTTAAGTATTTCTCTCCCAACTGCCAGCTCTCCGGCTTGGCCCTTGCATAGCTCCAGCAGTGTAGATATGGACAGCTGACTTGTGCGGCTACAAAGAAACGAGAGTGACCTTAATTAATACCCGCAGTGGGTCAACAACTCACTGATGAGCAGCAAATATTACGAGATCTCTCTGCAGTACTTCTTATGTTCTCAATTGTTCAAGCAACTGCCTGGGATAAACAACCAACTGCAGAGCTCCAGAAAGTGGGCTGCTCAATACCTACCATCTGCCCATCCTTGTACTGAAAACCATCATCTGTCCTGCACATGGACACACTCCCTACAAACTAACTCATGACCTGGACAGAATACCAGAGTAGCAGCAGAAGCAAAGCAAAGGAGGTGGAAGAGTGGTGGCCAATCAAGCCGTGCTGCGACGTGCAGACAGGAACTGCCAAGTAGCATCAACCAGGGTGCATTAAACAGAGGTGAGCTTTCCCATCCATTGATCTAAAAGGGGCGTGGCCTGCGCTCACTTTGACTGTCACTGCCCTTCGCTGTCAGTTTTGAAGATACCATGGGAAGATATGAAACTTCGAAAGTTAAAAACGCTCATAATGACAATAAAAATCCATAGCTAACGGAACAGGAATGTTCTCTGAAGCAAGTTAACTCCTATGGTTCTATAGGCTACTCAGTGTTCTTATCGCCTGGGTTTCAGACTAACACTACAATCATAATACCTCACATGTGCAGCCCTACACAGTCTGCTGGCCTGGCTTTTACCTGCCATTGGGGTTTCTTTCCCTAGTCCTTACAAGCTCTAAGCCCTATGTTTTAATTTCGACCTCACAGTACAAAGTAATAATATTTGAAGATTCACTAGCACAGGTATATCAAACACTAAGTGTGAGGTGGGGCCAGGAATTTTAGAGCGAGGCCTTACCTATTGGCATCTGCACACTTGACTAGGATGGTGTCTACAACTGGCCGGAGAAGTCTCTGAAGTTTGATTCTTTCTGCTAGACTGTGGCAAGGTGTATATACCAGCATGGCTCTCAATGTTTTCTGGGGAGAAAAGAAACCTGAAGGTCAGTTTAACTACATTCAAAATGCATCAAAGAAAATGTTCCAAGCTGAGATAATCTGAGCAAATAAGCACTAATAATAAGAAGAAATGGATAACCCAGTGGCGATAAGCAGAGCATTGCTGCGCAATTTCAGCTGGAGGTGGAATCAAGGTTTCTAACATCTGCTCCATGTCCAGTTCAACTAACATGCTGCTCTAGTTGTAAAAGGTTTCTGAGGTCACTGAACTCTGACCCCAATTTATATTCATAGCTACTTATACTTCTCAAAAGGAACATTCACTAGAGACCCAATTATGAGGATGTTAGAAAAAAAAAAAAGATTACAAGAGACTGAAGTTTAAACAGATTAGGTTAAGAAATTACACCAGCGAGATGGCTCAGTGACCAATGGCACTTGTCACCAAACATGACAGTCTTGAGCCCTGAATCCACATGGAAGGAGCTAACCGGTTTCTGCCAGTGCCCTCTCATTTCCACACGCAGCTGTGGAACACACACCCTAGCCCTCTCTCCTAACTGTGATCTTTTCTTTTTCCAGAATTTCCCTAAGGCAGGGACTCTTGAGGGTATGTGAGTTTGGGCTCCAAGGGTCACTAGGCAGTGCCTGCAGACACTGTGGTCGGCATCTTAACTGTGAGCAGATGTGAGCCATGTACTGTGTGTATGCCTGCCTGTCTTTCCCAGCCTCTTGACAGGATGCAATGTGGCCAGATCCCAGGAGTCTCTGCCACTGTGACTTCTGTACCAGGGTGGGCTGTCACCTGGAACTGTGAGTCACAATAGACCCTTCCTTTCTGAAGTTTCTCTTGTCACAATCACTGAAAAGAAACTGAGAGAATGTGGGACCATTTTCTGCAAAAATCCTTCTGAATTTTCTCACGTTTACTAAAGCCAAGAACAGTTTTTTTTATTAAAATAAATATTCATTAATGTTTTCATACAGCAAAACAAACAAACAACAACAAAACCCAAAGGACAGTTTCTAACTCTAGTCTTGCCTGGTTGTTTCTGTTTCCTGAGACAGGGCCTCCTATTTCCCAGGCTAGCACTGAACCCCCAGGATAGCTCGAGACCAACTGAACTCCTGATCCTCTACCCTCCCCTTCATCACCATCAAGAAGTTTTAATTTGGTCATATATAATGTATTTATTCAAGAAAATATATGAATAGCAAGACATTACTACTACACAGGATAAAGGTAAATAAGAAATCACAAGCAGATTAAAATCAGTAAAATTATATGGAGAGATAAAATGGGATATTGCAATTTCTTAGAACTATGGAATAAAAAATTAGATTTTCTAAAGTTAATTTAGGTAAAGTAGATTTATTGTTTCTTAAATTTGATACCTACAAAAGACCAAAGAAAGAAAGCTCAAAAAGATATGGTTATGGAATACTGTACTTACTAAAGCAGCAACGTACACTTTGTAGACAGGGTCGGCACAGACTGTGGACAAGACGCTGCAGCACGCCTCCACCACATCCCCTGAGATGCTGGTCTGGGAAGACCCGCTGGCGGCTCCAGCACTCAAGCTGCCGCCACTGCCGCCTCCAGAATTTCCAGTGCTCTCCCCATTTGCCAACAACAGGGCCCCACTAACGTCGTGAGAAAGACGCCTGAGGGCCATCTCTCTTACATTCCAGTTTCTAGAAAATAAGCAGCCAACGAGTTCCATTCCAAACACCTATATTAAACAAACACAAAGTGATGAGAAATTAATGAACCTATGGTATATTAAGAATAGTTTCTGATAATTAAAGAAAAATCAGCCACTTCTCAATTCTTTATTACACTTGATAATTTTTTGATTGTCAAATTTTTACAATGAAAAACTATAGTAATATATACACATTCTTGTGTGGGGGCATGGGCGTACACGTCTGTGCATGTTTCCACACTGCGGAGGCCAGGGGTCAACCTTAGGTGCTGTTTCCAGGAGCTGTTCACTTTGGGTTTTTTTTTTCTGAGATGGAGTCTTCTAGTAGGCTCACCAATTAGGCTAGGCTAACTGGTTGCTGAGCCCCACGGGTCTACCTGTCTCACCTTTCCAGAGCTGGGATTACAGAGCTTTCTACAGGGAGCTGGACATCATACACCAACACAGCCAGCTTTCTATGGAGGCTGGACATCAAACACAGGACACCCTGCAAACACCTGACTATCTGCCCAGCGCCTTGAATGTCAACTCCATGATTATTTAGAAATGTCTGGCATGTCTACTGAGGACTTTCTTTCTTTCTCTTGGTTTTTCCGAGACAAGGTGTCTCTGTGCAGCCCCGGCTGTCCTGGAACTAGCTCTGTAAACCGGCCTGCCTTGCCTCCCGAGTGCTAGGATCAAGGGCTGTGCCCCACTACCTGGCCGCACGGGCTCTAAGTTAGGTCAGCTGACACAGGAAGACCCGCCCTAAATGTGCTCAGCACCAGTTCATGAGCTCAGGTCCTTGGACGGAATAAGGAGGAGAAATGAGCTGACGAGTCACTCATCTCCCTTTGCTTCTGGGCAGATGCAATGTGAGCAGTCATCCTGATCCTGTAGCCATGCCCACCCGCCATGGCCGGCTCTATGCTTTGAACTGTAAATTGCAACAAATCCTTTGCTCTATGGTTACTTCTTCAGGTATCTGGTCATAGCAACAAGACACATGACTAAAATACTGTGTCTCTCTACTTGAAACACTAGTTAACTTCACATAGGAAATGCGCTTCCTGCACTGCCGCAGCTTCAATCCACCTTACAGGACACTTAAGGTGTAAGCAAAACACAGCTAATGACAGCCTTGCCAGAATGGCATCTAACAGCTCAGAATCCACTCAGACAGTTCTCTGAGATCCTCAAACAGACAGGGCCTTTGCAGAATACCGTCATAAATCGGAAGAATTAAGGTGTGTCTATAAACTCTATGGATTTGATCAGCTTGGTAAGGAGCAGGGGGTTAACATGGAGAGTGTGTTTCAAGGCTCACAAAGCAGAAAGGCAGCATATTCTATGATGGAGTTAACGTCTTACAAATGCTGATGACCTGGTTTCACTACCATCTCACTACCTCTCTCCTGGGAGCAATGGCTATAGAGCCTACATTTAAAAATATAGCAAGCACCCAGCAACGAATGACATAATTTACAAGTTGGCCAACAAATCTGTGTTTACTGAAGACGAGAAACTGTTCTAAAGAGGTAAAGGCAACCAAAACACCTAACCCAAGACCATTCTAAATCTTTACGTGTCCTCTCAGCAAGTGCCTGTTATGTATTGGCACACAGAAAGGAGACACTGGGTTTAAATGGCAGCAAATAGAATCACTTGTCAGGAATGGGGGTTAAACATGGGGCAAGTCAGCATCAAAGAGCTGAATTCCCTTCCTTGTGCAGCCTTGTACACTTGTTAGTTTAGGAAGACACAGCTAGGTAGGCGGGAACTACAAAGACACTCTCAAGGGTAAACTGCAGCACGCATGCCGAGAGGAATTAACCCAAGGGCTGGATTAAAATCTTCAGCAGCTAGGAGTCACACTAGCGAAGCGTTTTCCTAAATTAGAAACAACTGAGGGAAAGGGACAAACACAAGAGCTGAACTAAACGAAGAACTGCTCACCTGGATCCATGGCTCAGCCAGCTCTTTGTAAGCAGGAGGGATCTGCTGGGTTCCATAGTGAGTAAGGTTAAAGTTGCTTTCTTGGTTCCTTCTTTGCGACCCAGCCACAGGCTGCTGTGGGGAGACGGGCTGAGGTACAGCTCGCAGGGAGGCAGGGGAATCCACTGGGCTTGACAGCTCGTGGCTAAAATGAAATATTATAAAACTTCTTACAAAATATTAACAGACAGAAGTCACACTTGGCACTTTGAGACAAGGCTTCACTGTAGCTCAGGCTAGCCTTGAATTCATGATCTTCCTGCCTCAGCTTCCCAAGAGCCGGGATCACAGGTGTATGCCACCATGAGAGGCTAGAGAATGTCATTTCAATTCTTTGTTAAATATACACCAATCAGTAATTCAAAATTCTTACCTGTAGAAGTCATGGGATCTCCACTTAGATCTACAAAGGGGACATATTAAAGGTTCTCTATTTCTTCTACACTCTTCTGCCCCTGAAAAAAATATTACAAAAACGTAAAACTTAACATTATGCATTTCTAAATCCTGAGTATTCATAACAGCTAGTGTAAGACTGCTTTGGAAGGAGTCTCACAGTCTGATAGGGTATCAATCTGGCCAAGGCAGCAGAGCGAATTATTCCGATGCTTGCATCTACAGAAATGCTGCCTTATCACTTAGGACGGCACTGCTGTGCTCGCCATCCTTCCAAACACTCTTCCCTACTCGATTCTGTGGCTAGTCTTTCGATTCACCCGCTGGAAAGCCCGTCCACGTCTCCCACAGCTCACAGCTTTGGGCCGGGAAATTTTAGGTTTGCACACCTTCCATTTCCACCTGCATCACCTGCACTTTTCCATACACTGCACTTTTCCATCTACACAGATCCTAAATCCTAATTTGCTAAAAACCTCACATGCAGCTTAAGCAGGACTTTCTTCTGCTCTCCTTCATCTCCCCACAAGCCATGCTGCAATCACAAATATAACAGTGAGCTAGAACGCAGCCAGGTTGAGCATGGGGACAGATAAGCCACCTACAGATGGACATGCAGTGGTGGTGCAGTTTGTTCCGGCAGCCATCTTCACACACAGTCAGGCTTTCCTCATCCAGCATGCCCAACAAGCAGATGGGACACATTTGTTCCTCTTCGTCCTTTATGCTGTGAGGGAGGGAAGCAAAACACTGAGCGCCAAGTCGTTCTCCTCTGGACTATGCACATATCAACCAGAGAGCGTTGTCTGACAGCCCCACCTGACAACCACAGAGCGGTTCCCTCTCCTACTGATACACAGATCCACAACTGTGGTGAGTCAGGCTGTTCTCACTGTGAATGCAAGTCAATGCAGCAACTATAACCCATATATACATATAGATGTAAAAAGTACAAGGAATGGATTTCACTACGGCACCTGCACACATACGTCATTATACTCTGTTCTATTCATCCTCTCCTACCTTCCTCCTCTCTACCCAGTGTATTTTTTTCTTAAGCATCTTTCAAAATGTTAGTGGGCTGACTAAGCATGCTTGCTAGTCTCTCTTTCTGCATTTTATCTATACACTGAGGTTCTAGGATCATCTGTGCACTTTCGGTTTTTGAAGCCGTTTTGTGTATTTTCCATTTGCTTTAATTTTTTATTTTGAATTTTTATTGCAAGTGTATGAGTGCTTTGCTTGTATGTATGTATATGTGCCATGTTCATGCCTTGTGTCTGTAGAGGCCAGAAGAAGGTGTCGGATCCCCTAGGACTGGAGTTATAGATGGTTGTAAGCTGCCATGGGAGTGTTAGAAACTGAACTTGGGTCCTCTGGAACCAATTGGTTCATCAGCATAGCAGCTGATGCTCTTAACTGCTGGGCCACCTCTCCAGCCCCTACGTCCATATTCTGTTCTTTGGAAATACTATTTGAAATTTTTATAAAGTTAGATCCCCAGATGAATACCCTTTAGTGTTTTCTTTTTATTGATTTTAGTTTTTCCATAAAAATATGTGACTACATGGAACAAAAACTTACACGCTATATTACAGTATGACAAATGCTTGTGCCCACACTGCTGATATGCCAACGCACCTGGAAACCTCAAATTCGGCCCACACTAAGAAAGTGTTTGTCTAGCTTTAAACATTTATTCTCTTTCTTCAACACAAAGCATAAAGTAAGTTTGGCTTCAGAAGCTCAATAAAGAAATCAACCTTTCTTTTTTCTTTTTTTTTCCCCTCATATATTTAGTAGAGACAAAGGGTAACAGAAAGGAACCTTAGTCAGGAATCAAGATACCCAAATTCTGGTTACGTATGCTATTACCTCTCTAGGCTTCATCCATTTCTAAGAAGCCAGAAGATCTTTAGTTTCACAAATAACTTGAAACTTAAAAATCCCCTGTCCACCCAATGGCCACTGCACTGCTTCCCCCAGCTCCATGTTCTGAGGCGGTCACAAGTCTAAGTGACAGGTGGGAAGAAATGACACTTGCCAGCTAGTGCTTCTAAGACCAGGGTGCCCAGGACCACAGATGCCCTTTCTCCTGCCCGCAGTAACTGGACCATCTCATTTCTACACCGAAAGCTCATGTCACAGAATAGACAGAAACTTAGGTTACAGAGTAGATAACAGACTCCATCTAATACTGCAGACTTGGAAACACCCACGTTTAGTATTTCAGGCTGCATTTTGTATCCTTCAGAGCTTATCTTTCCATCTTCCCAGGAACTGGGCAATGCAGAGTTTGTGAAGCACTGTGAACTTTACGTAGCTACCACGGAAACAGCTCCTGAACCTCCTACTACAGACCTACTACCACTACTGCTGCTGCTGACCAGTCTACTTAACGAGAATGTGCTTCTCTTCTCCCAGGTAAAGATTCTCTGGAAACATCGATGAATGAAGTATGGATGTTACACGACATAAAAGTCTTACAGCTGAAAGTGATAGCAAAGCCACTCTGCCACGTTTCCTTCTACCTCACACTGTAGAATATGATAAAATCTACCTGACAAGGTTTTCCTAAGAACAGAATGAAGGCTAGATGGTGGTGGTGCACACCTTTAATCCCAGCACTTGGGAGGCAGAGGCAGGTGGATCTCTGTGAGTTCGAGGCCAGCCTGGGCTACAGAGCAAGTTCCAGGACAGCCAGGACTTTTCACAAGGAACCCTGTCTCGAAAAATAAAAAAAGAAAAGAAAAAGAAGAGAAGGAAACAGTGCTATCAGGTGCTTGGCTAAGGTGATGTCTGACAAAGCAGCCACTCACTAACTTGCTCCTGCCACCTGCTTTCTCACAAGAAGGGACATTACGCTAATTTGTCATTTCCAATGTACAGTGTGGAGAGCAAAAATTCTTCAAGCGACCTCTAATAACCTTTACTTTTGCATGAACATGACAAGTCAAGACTCAATAATTACACCATTGTATAGCAATTAAGTAGAATAAAAATTATTCCTAAAATTAAAAAGCACCACTAGATCGATCTCAGTTTTGTGCCGAGTACTGACCTGTTTTCTGAACTAGATGTAGACGTGCTAGATGATGACAATGTATGAGAATTGGACATGCGAGAAACAAACTTCTGGATAGTGTTACGAGATGGAGCTTTGATTCTTGAGCTACGCCTACTGTGATATTTCTGGAACAAACTCTCAACCTAGCATTGGAAAAAGACAGTGTCAATGATACTGATGCCATAATTATGCATATGAAGAGGTGAGTCACTCATCTTTATTTGCATAAATTTTGCATAAAACTGACTTAAGAGCTTCAAACATAAGAACATAGTTTACTAGGCACAATGCTTTTTACAGCACACTAGTGCTTATTTAAGTTTTTTACAGTTTAGAAACAAACAAAAAATCCAAACCACTTATCACTCAATAAATCACCAAACAACTTTAAAGGCCTCAGAAAATTCTCCTGTAGATTCACATGTCTGACCACCACTGTCAGTACTCTTGGAAAAATTACAAGACCTATCATACAAGTTTACTGTCAATTTTACACTAGTTTTGCATATTAAAAAATTACCTCAAAATTTTTTAAAGTTTTTCTCCATAACATTGGGTCAGAGGGTTCCAGTTGAAACACACGGAGCATAACAAATAACAGGTGGATACAGAACGTTCCGCGCCCACAGCTGCAGTTCTGGTGACCATAAGGAAAGTCCATGGGTTAATAAATCAGTGAGGGTTCATCAGAATGTCTGTGCCTATACTGCTTGGGCACGCCTAAGTCTATTTTATTAAAATTTCTATGAATATCCTTCACTATCCTCACATATAAAGATATAGATATTTCCATGCATTAATCTATTTTCAATGAATTTACTTAATTGATTAAATTTATTTTGTTTAAGGTATTCTTATAGTAAAAAACATCATCCATAGTCTAGATGCATTTTAAATTCACTTTATAAAACTGAGAGCCAGATACATACATGCCTGTATTTTTGACACTTGCAGACAGGAAGCTCACTGTGAATTCAGAGCAAGCCTAGGTTATAAAGTGAATTTGAAGCAAGCTAGATGGCATAGTGAGACCCTGTTACAAAATGAAAACAAAACAGGGTGGTGGTCCACATCCCTTTAATCCCAGCACTTGGGAAGCAGAGGAACTGGTCTTGAGTTCGAGACCAGACTTGTCTACTTGTCTGTGAAGCTAGGGCTACACAGAGAAACCCTGTCTCAATAACAGAAAAAAAGCAAAACAAAACTAAGCACCAACAAGAAGGCTAAAAGAAACCTTCTAATGTCTGGGGATGAGCTAACACTTGCATGGAGAACATGAAGCATTCAATTTCTAATCACATATGCACACACAAGAAACAAAATGATTTAATAGTACACAGACTTAAAATGGTACCACACACTAATAAAATATAAAAGTGTCGAGTACTACCTGTGGCCCAATGAACACCCGGTACTTATTGTCCGGACTGTCTCCTCCAATCAGGAAAGAGTTGGGTCCTATCTGCTGCAGGAGGTACAATCTGGCCCTCATTACTTTGTTCACACGGCGGTTTGTCTCTTCCGGGCTGTACGGTGAGAAGCCATCTGGTGATGGGGCTCTTCGGGGTGGTGTGATTCTGCCACTCTGAAACTTTACAACATTGTTCTTTATTAGGTAAATTTCGCGCTTCTTGATAAAAAATAAATATTTTAAGACAGGTCATACCTAAAGTCATGTGATAGATTTCCCAGAAAAAAAAAAGCTTCATGTATGAAATATAATGAAGAGCAAAACACTGTTATCTGACACATTCCTTTGGAAGAACTTCTAAAATCAAAGTCACTCCTAGAAGTGATGATAAATCTTTGCCTGAGAGACACCATATGGTCCTTTTACAGGCTAGGCCATAAACTTGAGTCTTCTAAAATACTATGCAAACCAAAATGAGAGGCATGAAGTGGCCACCATACAGAGGAAATGCTGTTTCTAGCAGTAAATGCAAACACGCATTCTCCGGGTTTCTACTTAAGGCTCTGGCTAGCGCTCCCTAGAGTAGGACTCACAAACACTGCCATGGAATCCTCCCCAGCTACACTGGCAACACTGCATACACACTTCCTTCTTTAAAACTCCCCACTGGAGGCCGAGCAAAACTGTCTGTGGCCACAGACATAAACATGCTCACCACACTACTCATTTCCCCCAGAACTTGAGGTCTTGTCATCAACATCCAGCAAGAATTATGATTGGTGGAAACACCTGGACTGAATTAATGGTCGCAAAACCAGGAAGCAGCCCAGAACCCATTGGCGGTGTGTAGGTGTGCAGCTGCTGTGACAAACAGTCTAATAGTTTCTGGAAATGTTAAACTTTTCATCCAGGAATTCCACCCCAGGTATGAATTCAAGAGAAATTAGGACATATCTACACACAAACTTGAGGTGAACGTTCACACCAGTCTTATTCACAGCAGTCCAAAGAAAGATGCAGTCCATTTAGATAAACAAAATGCGGTGTATGGAAACATCCAACAATTGAAATGGAACACGGATGCATGCTGTGACAGGACCTGAGTCAAAGGTGTCTGCCGTAAAGACTACCCATAAAAGGCAAACACACAGACAAAATGGGCCAGCGACTGCCTAGGGCTAATGAAGATTGCTACTAACAGAGCTGTACATAAACAGCAGTTTACTTGAGCAAGGGAGATCCCAGGAATTGAGCAGCAGTCAGAACCTAGAGTTTCAGAGGGTTGATTTAGCAATGTCCAGGCAGCTTCTACAGGCTGAACACAAAGGAAGGTGAAGCAACTGCTGGACCGGCCACAACGAGCCTTTGCCATATTGGGGTGTGTGTGATGGGCACACCCTGGTTATGTAATGAATAGGCTTTCTGTTGTAGTTGACTAAAGCTCAGCCTGATTGCCAAGAACAGAAACAACTTCAGGCCAATGGTGTCTAGCTTGTCCTTACCGTGCTGTAAAAGTGGGGTGGTTTGGGGGAGGGGATGGAAAGATGTGACTCTGCTTATATGTATTCACAGTCCTCTTTGCTTTGAGGCCTCATGAAATCAAAATGCAAATGGGGACTTAAGAAGAGCTCCCAGGCCAGCAGCTTCTGCTCCGATCCAGCAGCCACACCAGGAGGTAGGTGCCAACAGCCCAACTGTTTGAGCTTTGAGAATGAAGCAAGGCATGAGGGAGAAGCAAGCTTGGTTTGAGCAGAGGCTATGAGGAGCAGGGACAAGTGTGCGAGCTAGTAAGGTTCAGTGTGCTTTGGTTAGATTTATGTGCTCCCACAACTGTACTCACTGACGTCCGCTCACCTAGTCTTCAAACTTCGCACGTGTTTTAATGTGCAATTCCACCACTAGCCGTCTCTACTGTCCTTCTGCATATTTACCATAAAATGCTGCATTTGGCCTGTTGTGATATGTGTCCGCTACCAAAGGAAGGCGGACTTTAGAGGCTTTCCACAAATGCCTATTTTCTAGGGTAGCCATCACATGGCCCCAAATATGAGCCAAAGCTCAAAGAGCAGATTGTTTCTTTAGATTTATTTGCTTTTATTTTATGTGTGCAAGTGTTTACCTACATGCATGTATGTGCTTGTGTATGTCCAAGGCCCACAAAACCACAAAAGGGCATCAGTACCCCAACACTAGAGTCCCATGCAGCTGTGAGCCACCTTGTGGGTGCTGGGGCTGGAACCTGGCTCCAGGAAGAGCAGCCAGCGCTCCTAACTGCTGAGCTACCTCTCCAGCCTCATGGAAGCAGTTGTGAGGTGACTATGAAAGAACAGTATTGGCTTCTTCCAGCCGGCATATTAAATCCATATGCTATGCATTATCCCCTGAATGGATCTTATGGATGTTTTTGTTCCAACATATATACTTATTTGGTAAATATTGGTTTACTAAATTACAGATATACTTAACTATATAATGTTAAAAAACATTTTATCATTAGTCTTAGAAGTCTAAATACTGAGAAACAGTAAAGCATAGTGGAAATCATTTTCTAAAAGTTTAATTTTTGCTTTGGAACTTCAAACATCAGTGGTGAAAATACTTTATTTTCCTTGGTGAGACAGTTTCATTAAGTTCACTTTAGGGAAAATGCTAAATACAAGTCTGAACAATCAGACTTTGTTGGCTATTCTTTCAATTAATAGTTTTGGTCCATGAAAACAGGATGACTGGCCCAGCCTGCAACCCCAAGAGCTGTCTAAAGGCTGCTCCTCGAGATGGTGACCACACTATAGTGCACGGCAGAAGCGCTGCATCCAAGTGTTCCATTTTATCACACACCACAGAATACCAAAAGGGGTTGAGATTCAACAAGTAATTTCCTTGACAAAGTTCTTCTTAAAAACAAAATAGCCCATTTCTTTCATGGGCAATCTATAGCAAGGAAGAGCAAAAACTCTCTACGACAGAGTAAATGCAGGGGCACAGGAGGCATGAAAATGCCCCAACAAAACTGATTTTTTTTGCACAATAAATATATGCTAGTAAAGGGGAAACTCCAATTCTAGTGCCAGAGCCTAGTGTTAACTGGGGTGAAAGCATCAGCAGCTCTAACAATTACGAGTGTACAATGACAGTGACAGCACAAAGGCTTTAGGATGGAGATAGTTTGGGCTTGACAGACTCCAGAAAGCATTTTCCGAGTCCCCCATCAGCCCTCAGATCAACCACACTCTAAACACGGCTGCTCTGTCGCACTGTTGGGAGCCCTCTCTGTGCTGGAAGCGAGTGAACAAACGGTTCTGATCTTAACTCACAGGCACCGGGGAGACTCGCTTCCGTCTCACTCCTGGGGATTCCGGTTTCACTGAGCGCCCTGATGGGGAGCTGCCAGGAGATGGGCTGCGTCGGCCTTTGGGGGCTGCTGAAGCAGAGCTCGCTTGACCCTCTCCTTGAGGTTCAGCTGCCAGGTTACTCATTTCAGATCCATCTCCTTTAATAGGGATTGGTTTCACCACCTGAAACAAAAATAGTCCAATGTTTCGATTACTTAAATATATACAAAGTACACCTGAACATCAGAGTGGGAAATAAATGTGTTACTATACAATATTAATACAACTATACCAGATAATAGGTCACATTTTATTTGGTATTACATTGTCACTAATGTTGGGAGATTATTTTTACTTACACAAATGTCACTATTTTGCGTTCACACTAAAGTTACTGTACAAAATTTTAGAAAAACTACTAGTTGCTATTTGTTGTCATCTAGCTCATTTAATATTCAGAATTAACACAAATTAGGAATTAAATGCAGAAAAATTAGCACTTCAAGAAATGTTCTTTTGGACAGCGGGTTGATTTCCAAAATATACAAAGAACTCAAGAAATTGGTCATCAAAAGAACAAACATTCCAATAAAAAAAAATGGAGTACAGACCTAAACTCTCAACAGAGGAATCTAAAATGGCTGAAAGACATTTAAGAAAATGCTCAACATCCTTAGCTATCAGAGAAATGCAAAAACAACTCTGAGATTCCATCTTACACTTATAAGAGTGTCCAAGATCAAAAACACTGATGACAACTTATGCTGGAGAGGATGTGGGGTAAAGGGAACACTTCTGCATTGCTGGTGGGAGTGCAAACTGGTACAGTCCCTTTCTTTGAGCGATTTCTCAGAAAATTAGGAAACAACATTTTTCAAGATCCAGCAATACCACTTTTGGGTATTTACCCAAAGGATGCTCAATCGTACCACAAGGACACATACTCAACTATGTTCAAAGCAGCATTGTTTGTCATAGCCAGAACCTGGAAACAACCTAAATGTCCCTTAACCAAAGAATGGATAAGGAAAATGTGGTACATTTATACACAGCAGAAAAAATTAATGACACCTTGAAATTTGCAGGCAAATGGATGGAGCTAAAAAACATCATACTGAGTGAGGTAACCCAGACCCAGAAAGACAAATACCACATGTACTCACTCATACGTGGCTTTTAGATATAAAGCAAAGAAAACCAGCCTATAATTCACAATCCCAGAGAACCTAGACAACAATGAAGACCCTCAGAGAGACATACATGGATCTAATCTACATGGGAAGTAGAAAAAGACAAGATATCCTGAGTAAATTGGGAGTGTGGGGATCATGTGAGAGAAGAGGAGGAGAGGGAGTGAAGGGAGCATCGGGACGGTGGGAGAGGGTAGAAGGGGAGAGGAGAGGAGCAGAGAAAAATATATAGCTCAATAAAAACAGTAATTAAAAAAAAGAAATGTTCTCTTGTTTTGAAAAAATATAAGCCATAAAACAGTAATAATGGGTATTAATTTAAGTAGTCAAATACAGTTTGGTGATATTAAACTATCTTGAAAATGTTATTTTATAATAGTTTTAAGGCATAGTTCAAGAAGCCAGGGAAGGGCCAGGAGCACTGCTCAGTGGTACAGTGGTGGTTCAGCATGCATGAGGCCCTCGGTTCAAGTCTCAGTAATAAGGGGGAAAAAAGATTCAGGGGCTGGAAAAAGCCAAGGATGCTTCAAGCTTAAAGACCAATTTCTTAAATTGGAAACATGCAATTTACACGGCCTGCTGCTGCTACTGCCATGTTTAAATACAGGCCTCTCAGATCAAATCCTCAGGACAGCTGAAGCCTGCTCCTCCTGGCATCCCCTCACTTCTTCCTATGCACAGTCAATTTCACTGGAATCTTTAAAGTTGTGGCTAAAGTCCTGCTGTTCATAAAACCGCCATCAACGCTGCCTACATTCTTTAATCTTTTTTGGTAGTTTAAAAAAGATTTTTATTATTTTTAACTATGGGGTATGTGCACAGGAGTGCACGTGCCTGAGGACGACGGAGGCAGTGACCTCCCTGGAGCTGCAGTTACAGACAGCTGGGAGCCACCTCAGTTCCGTCGAAAGAACAATGTGTGCTCCTAACAGCTGAGCCATTTCTCCAGCCTCTAAAATCTCCTAAAAAGCTGCATTTACTTATTTGTTTGTTTGTACATATGGTGTGTGGGGGGGGTGCACATGCACACACATCAGAGAATAACTTGTGTGAGTTGGTTCTCTCCTACCATGTAGGCCCTGAGGATGAAACGCTGGCCGTCTGACCTGGGGCAAGCCCTTTGTCCACTGAGCCGTCTTACTGGCCCCCAATCTACAGTTTTTCATCTTTCCTAGCTCGTTACTGCTCTTCTGCTCACCCCACACACCTGGCACTAGCCATTAAGTGCTCTGCACTGTTTTACACACCGTTTAACTTGCTATGTATAAGCCTTAGTTTCCCATCTGGAGCTATTTATTTTTTATTTGCTGTTTTGAGGAGGTTTGAAGGCAATTTAATAAAAAAAATAAACAAAATTAGACCTCCCAAGTAGACAATAAACTTCTTAAGCATAATTTGAAATCTGTGAGTAATAAAATTCAGAAAGGGCAATTATGCTCAAGGATCAAGGATCACATGTTACATTTCATACTCTGCACATCTCTTCTTCTCCCCCCCCCATCCTACATATATAGGCAAGGTATTTAAGTATTTACTGGAAAGTAGACAGTGATAAAAATTTTGTATTAAATGCTATAACATTATTTTGGTTGGCTTTGCCATATGACACCACAGAACAGCTCCAGCCCCAAGAGCCTGCGGAGGAGCCAGCTCTCTTTGGGTGGCTTTCATCGCTCAGGAGCGCTTTACAGCACCCGAGTAGAAACAGAGCCCTATTCTTACAACTTATTTACTTTCACGTACATTGGTGTTTCACCTGCAGCGATGTCTGTATTAGGGCATTGGATTCCCTGAACAGGGGTTATAGATATCTGTCAGTTGCCATGTGGGTGCTGCGAATTGAACCCATGTCTTCCAGAAGAGCAGCCAGTGCTCTCTACAGTCCAAAATACGCCTCTCCTACTGCCGCCTCAACAAGCTGCTTCAGTAAGACACTAAGCTAAGCCCATGATTCCCCATCTTTTGCAATGAACAAAATGGTGAAGGAACCCATCAAAAGCCCCAAGAGAAGGAAAGGTGCAGAAGCCTACTTGGAAATAATGGTGGCAAAGAGAGACGGCAGGCAGGGGACATTTCGAGTTTTCCCGTGGTACTGCACAAGAGACAGCAGTTCAATGGAGGAGTCTAAAGACTTGGGGCTATTGAGAAACTGAAGCAGAGGCCAGTTAGCTGCAAGGCCTCCAACAGTGGACAGTGGTGACTACACTGGCCCAAAGGCAGCCACTAATCACACAAGTATCAAGCACCTGAAGGTGGCTAATATGACTGACAACTAGGCTTAAACTTTGGTGGGGACAGAGATGGTTCAGCGGTTAGCAGCGCTGGCTGGTGCTGTTCTAGAGAGCCTGAGTTTTGAATCCCAGCATCTGCATGGTGCCTCACAGTCATCTGCGAGTACAGTCCCAGGGGATCCGAGGCCTTCGGGCCTCTGTGGGTACCAGGTTATGTAGATTAATGTAGATTATACACAGACAACATGTAGGCAAGACACGAATACACATAAAATAATGTTTGGAAGTTTAAATTTTTTCTTTCATATTTAGCTAATTAATTTAAACTTAAAGAGGTCAGTGGGATGAAGATGAAGGCTAGACGATTATGGGGCGGTTTTACCAGGTCCTGACTGGAGTGTAATAAATCTTATCACTGCTATCTCTACTTCAAAAGAAAAATATAAACAGAATTAGATCGACAGACTGGCAGCAGGTCCTTCTTCCTGTGTATTAATGCAGAAGTGCATTTACAATACATCCTCCATGTTTTAGTGAAAAAATCACAGCATAGCATACAATATCCTTGTCTTTCTTAACCTGGTCATTCTTTTGACAAACTCCAGAAATTTTATCTTTAACTCCTGGGCTTACTTAATCTAACTGTTTCTTACCATCACAAATAAACCGATTTTTATCAGAAAGTACGTTATGAAATTGCTGAGGCACAGACGCTAACATTAGAGGGCAGTGTGGCTCCAGGTGCTCCATCAAATGCTTTCTTACAGTCATTTAAGTTGTCTAATGAGCAGGGTTTTAATTATGGCTTAGCTCAGGAAATAGGAAACGACTGCCGAGTTTCTTACTTCCTCTATGCTCCCTCCCAGAGCGGTGCCCTCAGAGCTCACCACAGGGCCTCTCCTGCTTCTCCTTTCCAACCACTCGTGCTTCCAGGCGGGCATACAGGTGGCCTTTAGTTTCTCCCTGATCATTCGCTCTTCTGGGCGGTCCTCCATCTTGTGCAATCCTTTGAGGGTTTCTTTATTCTCCATCTCTCGGCTAAAATCAAGGGAGAAATGAGGACAAAGAGAAAAAAGTCAGATTAAAAAATGATAATTTCCAAGGACAAGTGAACAGTGTGGTTGTTTTACACTCTGGTTACGGGAACCTGAAAAGACAGGTGGTAGAACCCACAGAAGAGTGAGGTCAAGTATGAACACAATGTACATAATCATTACTGTGCTTAACGTGGATACTGCTGAATGTCATCTGCTACCATCAACTTTAATAGCATCCCTAAAAGGGGGCTGGAGAGATGGCTCAGCAGTAAAGAGTACTGGCTGCGCTTCCAGAGGACCCAGGTTCAATTCCCAGCACTCACATGGCAGCTTACAACTGTCTGTAACTCCAGTTCCAAGGGATCTGACACCTTTATACTAATGCACATAAAATAAATAAGTTAAATACATTTAAAAAAATAGTATCTCTAAAAAAGATTTTACTCAGAGGTTGTATGCTTACTAATAATATCAGTGCAGGTCCTTCCCAGCAGTTACCCAAACTAACCCAAAACATTAACCACTGCTTTAACACAGACTGCCTACCACACCAATATTATAATACACAAGAAACACATATCTTATTTGTATCTTATTACCCTTACTCCAAAATTTATAATTTTCATGTCAGCGTACACAGAACCGGGGAGGTACGCTTAGTTTCTATAATTAACTAAGTAAAGGTGGAACAAACTATGTAGAATTTAACTATATCCTAAAATAACTTTGCACCGCCTGAATGTTAAGTCTGCGTGTTCCTGGAACAAGAACACGATGATAATGCACTTGGTTTCATAACAGAGTAGAAATGACCTGCCACAAACATTCTGACGCGTCACCAGAATTAAGATCATCTTTAAGCTAGGAACTTTTGGGAACTAATTTGACAAAGTCTAACAGGTGAAGCAGCACTCTCTGGAAGATCACTAATTTCAAAACATACCCATCTCGATGTACGTACGCATATACATCCACACCGCATAGATTTCAAAGCTGTGTTCTGACGGAAACTAAGTACCTCTATTCTGAGAGAAGTGCCAAGTTTTAAAATTACAGACTAACCTCAATAACTCTTTTTTTCTAAAGCCAGTAAAGTTAGAGAATAATAGTTTTCTACCCTGGAAGGAAGAGGAAGTACAGTGGCGTCAGGAATGATGACCTTGAACTCACTAAAATGTCAACTTCGAACTTGTCTAGGAATTTTCCAGTTATTCATAACTCTGAGGCAGCAGCTTCAGCAAAGCAAACAAAACACAAACCAAACAGGCGCAGAGAGGAAATGCCCATCTGACTCCAGTGAAATACCTACACTGTGGAGGGCCGGGCCACACACAAGCACAATGTCAGAAACGGCTCTAACTGCGTTTAGGAAGACAAAGAGCAGTAACACCTCATCCGAATCTTACAAATGGGCAGTCGGGGCACACGGCAAACATTCCTGCTACCAAAACTGCTCCAAAGGATGAAAACACTGTTTTAGACAGTGATTCAGGTGCTTAGCAGTATCTGGCTGTTTCCGTGTTGATGATGTGGTGTGTGCTTGGTGTTGTCAGAGGAAGAGAGGAAGCATGAAAGGCAGACAGGACATAAAGGGAGGAGATGAGAGAGGAGGCAAAAAGTAAAACGCGGGAACCTATTCCTCTGAACTGCCCAGCTCCCTGCCTGAAGGTGGCTCCCTTAAGACTTGAAGAAAGAACACTTCAAGGACCTGGAGGAAAACAAACTAAGAAGCCTCAAGAAGCTCCTCAACTTAGCAGAGTCTGTCACAGGCCCTGTTCCAGGGTAAGGACTGTTGGGGACGGGGTGCTCCAGTCTGGCTGAGTCCCTGGCAAATCCACAGCTGGCAGAGAGCTTGCCCCTCCCCTCTCCCGCCAGCACCCAGGACACCTGGCTCAGGATTCTTCTGCACAGGCTATTTCCTGACTTCTCACTGACACAACTCATCCACTCACTCTGGTTTCCTCAACTACTCAGAGACCTCGTCAGTTCACCCCTCCACAGCCCCCCTCAAAGTGACCTCTACGACAACAAACAGGTCTCACCCTCCTGGAGTAGTTGGCGTGAGCTTTATTCGTCTACTCTCCGCATCCAAGCTCAGGGAGTACAGAGAGAGTGTCACACACAGAGTGAATGAACGGCCACATCAGCAGTCCTAAGGGATGCCCTTCTGCTTCTAACGTTGAATGTCTTCCATATTACTTAATATTTTTTATCATTTTGCACTTCTGATTAAGTCTGGAACTTTGATGTTATTTATTAAGAGACTTTTCATCATTCCTAAATTAATCTACAAATATAAACAAAGTGTTTTAGTTTCCTCAAAATAATTTTATATAATTAATCCTAAAATGTGCATTTTTTACACTTTATCACCTAAATTTGAATGGCTCCATGCAACCAGAAGCTGTACTTTCATAGGTAACTTTTCTTCCTTCATAGACTATAAAATGGTATAATTTACAAACACTGGGGTCTCAGATCCAGCAAAACATAGATCATTCCATTTTTCACACCAGGAAGAAATTATAGCTAATTGGTTTTTTTTTCTCTGAAATGAGACCAAGCCTGCTGGAAAGAAAATAAGCCTTCTCCAAATACTTCCACGGTTTACAACCGTAAGCATACCTTCCACGCATGAACAGACATGGTTCCAGTTCTGCCAGGTATGTATGCCTGTGTACATAGCAGTGGTTTGCCAGTCAAGGAACACTACAGTTGGAGAGAACAAACTCCCTTTTTAACCAAAGCCTTGAAGCCCAGGAAATCTAACAGCTGGTTAAGCATGGCAGGTGTGTGTATGTGCATGGGGGGGGGTAACCATGGCTATTATTACCTCAAAGTGTGCTGGTTTTAGTTAAAATAGCTCAGGCATTTCAGACCTTTCAAGTTAACTGATTTTTAGTAAAGCCAAATCATGTCTGGGAAAACTACCTTGAAGACTTAAGGACAAGAATAAGGTTTGGACAAACCTAAAGAGTAACACTAAGAGATGGGGGAATGGGGGGGTCATTTCCTATTTATCTGGGGTACACGCGGCTTCCTTTCTTGTTTTCCTAAGCATTCCTCAGAAGACATGTTATGTTTGACCTAGGGCTTTAAAGGCCCATTTCAGCCTGATGTTAGGTTTCTAACCCTTGGCTACACTGACAGAATACAGCTGCTGCACACTAAGTGAAGCCCCACCCTTCCCTTCTTGTGGAGGTCATTATTATACTATTTATTATTATTATATTAATGTCTGGGTCTAATCATCTTACTAATCTCATCAGGTCCATAAAGTAAGTTCCTTCCTGGAGCACCTTACATACCAGGCATGCTCTGTTCTTACAGCATTAATATGCTTCCTTCCTAAGTATGCCAACAGTTCACACATCTTAGCATATATATGCTCCCCCACTTAACTTTTTCCTGCCAGCAATCCTTTCCTTTTCTCACATGCCTTCAGTACAAAATCCCTCCCACATGTCTACGGTCGCTAGTTAGTCCTTTCTAGCAGGCTACATAACCATTGGAATATGATATAAAATTGAGGATCTGTCTAAACTTTTGCCTTCCTCACAGCACTGAGAGACTGATGTGGGATTCTCCTCTGTATGTTATGAATATGTTTTCTTATACTGGTTAATAAAGAAGCTACTTTGACCTGTGGCAGGGCAGAGTATAGGCAGGCAGGAAAATTAATCTGAATGCAGAGAGAAAGAAGGTGGAGTCAGGCAGACACCATGTAGCTGCCAAAGGAGAAAGACACCAGAACCTTACCAGTAGGCCACAGCCTCGTGGTGATACACAGACTAATAGAAATGGGTTAATTTAAGATGTATGAGCTAGCTAGGAATATCCTGAGTCACAGCCAAGCAGTGTTGGAATTAATATAGTTTCTGTGTGATTATCAAGTCTCTGCCTACAGGAAACCTTCCAGGATGGTTTGCATTCTCACCATTTTCCTATGGGTAACACCAAGTCTGCTGGGCCTGATACACTGTACCTTTTAGTGACATGCTGGGGGTTCCCCCCAGATGTCACCTCTCCTTCTGTTGTGTACTGAACCCATCCTGTAGTTCATAGTGAGCTGGTCCAATAATGTGCCTTGGTTCAAAGACACTCCATACTAGATGGTATTGTACACCTTGGCTCACTCTCTCTGGGAGTTTGAAAGTAAGGTGCATGGAAAGTGTCAGTGCATAAAGAATGGCATTAGAATAAATAAAGCAAATCGATACTGTAGATGTAGAGACAGAATAAGGGAGAAGACGGAACTCAGGGAGCACACAGCTAGTGAGGGAGAAGCAATAAAAATAGGCACCAGGGTTGTGCTGGGTCCCTCGGCAGCTATTAGGTAATTAGTCCTTCCCTAGTACCACCCCAAGTGACAAGCTGGAACTCTCCAGGGGCCACATGTGTGTCTCAGCGAGGGAAACATTTTCACAGATTCTTTAACCAGCTAAGCCAAGATTTCAAAGTTATTTATTAAGAGTGCTTTTTCATCATTCCTAAATTAATCTACCAATATAAACCAAAGTATTTCTAGTCTTAAATGAAGCAGCCTACTACTCTATTCCCTGAAAAAAATCCCAAAGAGCCTGATGAGGACTTCAGCTCTGCAAAATGAAGACACACAAGACTCTCAATGACATGCAGAATCCTACAATTTAAAAAAAGTTAAGTGGTTAATTTTAGCTTGGAAATTTTATGCTCACTACTAACATGGCGAAATCCCTGACAGGCTTTATAATAACAGGAGGGCTAAATCTAAATGTGTGCTAGAGAGCTGGCTCAGCTGGTAAGGGCACTAGTCTGATTTTGTGAGCCAGGTCTTGGGGCACAACTCTGTAATCCCAGCACCTGGGGGAAGGCTGAAGCAGGAAGATTCTTGATTCTCTTGGTGTCCAGAAGAGAAAATTTGGGAAAAAAAAAAAAGACCCAGGTTATTTGAGACATACACAGCCCACAGCTACCTGTAGGCCCTCCCTCCAGCAGAAATTCATACACCAAATACACATA